CCAATAAAAACTCAATGGATTGACACAATGGTCCCACCTGTGGCCAATCATGGGGGTTGTTTGTGGCAGTATTCCACTCTGCTGCACGTGGGGTCACCATATATAGGGTCACCGTAAGTTGGTAGTTATCATGAAGGCAGCTAACAACAAAAATAACAGCATATGCTGTGCTCACATTCCTGCTTCTAGGACATCCTTGAGTATGCTGATGATTAAATTGTTTCCTTTGCCTTGTTCTCTCTGTGTTATCTGCCTCCTTTTTCATCAGTGGGAAGTGGGAAACACTGTCTTGTTACTATGTTTCACGAGGCAGCTCAGAATTGAGCCTGGCTCACTATCGTTCTCACATGTACCTAAGAGTTAGACTCAAAGGAAAGCAAATGAAACAATTCTAAAACTCCAATAACATAAGCTGTTTATTTACAGACACTTGCTTTAGAAGTAGAAAGGGTAAAATCAGCATAACCGCATTAGCTTTTGGATGAGGCCAGGAAACCAAAGAGGACAAACTTAAGTAAAGCTATTCTTTCTTTCTTTTTTTTTTTTGAAGAAAGGAGTTTCTATTTATTGTTTATAGTTAATTGATAGTGAAGTTGGTCATGATCTTGATGTTATACATCTGCTGAGCACTAACATCACACACAAGCAAAATCCAGCACACACGATCCTTAAATATCATTGTTCCATGTTGGATTTGTCTCACACACAGGTATGCCGAAGTCCTCGTTCCTGGGACTCGAGAAGGTGGCCTGGTTACCAAGCAGATGCCATCACGCTGGAGTCAAGTGGGCTCCAGTCCAGTATGCGTGGTGGTCTTACAAACAGGAGAGTCACAGAGACAGATACAGAAAGATGATGGCCTTATGAAGGTGGAGATACTAAATAAGGAATGCCTAAGGCTTTTAGAAGCTGGTAGAAAAGACAGCAGATAGTCGTATAGAGCCTTTAGAGAGAGTATAGCCTGTTGACAGCTTGAATTCAGACTTCTCATCTCCAGAACTATGAGACTTTACATTTTTGTGGTTTTAATGTTCACTTTGTGGTCCTTTGCCGTGGCAGTCTAAGCAAATGAATATGGTCAATATATACTTTTATACAAGAAATAATGCTCACCTTGTAAAAAATTTTCCCAATTGGTAATGGGAGTTCTGGTGATCTTGTCAGTAAGGACTTCCACTGCCAACCTAAAGGCAGGCAGTTCAAATCCACCAGCTGCACCATGGAAGAAAGACGAGTAATCTCCTCCCATTCAAGTAACAGCCTCTGGAAACCCACAGGAGGGTCAGCTAGGAGTAGGCTCTGGCTCAATGGTCCTGAGTTGTTTAGAGGGAGATTGATAATGACTATTTAAACTTAACACAGATATTTCTGTGGAAGATTTCAAAGGGATAACATTTTGATCTCTCTCTGGAAGCCACATACATATTAGCTTTACAGCAAGTGCTGTTGGCAAGGTTATTGTTTTAAAACACTTCTACTCCCTTCTGAGATGAAAGAGAAAGATGAGCTCTTCTGAGTTAGTAATGGAATTCCATCTGCTGATGAGGTTTTGGATGCCTCAGAAGTTAGAAATGCGTCCAAAAAAAAAAAAGGGTAAAAAATGTTATAATCACAGTCTCAACTTGCTATCAAACCACAAGCCTTATTTATTCTCTTCTCTCACAAGTGATGTGAAATTGTTTACGAGGTTACTGCTCATGCTAGGGATGGCTGTAAGGAGGAACTAGCAATGGTGACTGCAGTGACTGGCCCAAGTGGATCAGAGATGACGAAGATGGCACAGGACAGAACGGAATTCTGATCTGTGGTTCACAGGGTCATTATGAGTCGTGCTTGACTTGACAGAACCTAACAAAAACAATTCCTCTCTGTAGGATGTTATGGGCAAAAATCCTGAATAATCAAAGAAGGATCAAAAGAAGACAGAAGAAATACTCTGAAAAACTGTACCCAAAAGAGTTGAGAGACATGATATCATTCCAGAAAGCAGCATATGGTCAAGAGACCATAGTAATGAAGAAAGAAGTTCAAACTGAACTGACAGAATTGGGATAAAAATAAGACTCCAGGAATTAATGAGAGAGCAGTTGGGATGTTTCAACAAACAGATGTAGCCCTGGCTGGATTCACCTCTATGTAAAGAAATCTGTCAGGCAGTTTCTTGGCCAATGGACTAGAATCTATCTGTATCTGTTCCCCCAAAAGGGTGATCCAACAGAATGAAAAATTATTGAACAATAAAACTAGTAGCACATGCAAGTGAAATGTCACTTAATATTATTTTTAAATAGCTTTAAAAGTACACTGATAGAGAACTGCATGAAATTCAAGTTGAATTTAGAAGAGGCTGTAGCACCAAAAATATCATTGCTGAGGTCGGATGGATCTTGGCTGACAGCAGAGAGTACTAGATGGATGTCTCCTTGTGTTTTATTAACAATGCAAAGGCATTTGACTGTGTGGATCATAACACATTGTGGCTAATATTGAGAAGAAGGGGAATCCCAGAACATTTAATTGCACTTATGCAAAACTTAGACTAAGAGGCAATTGTCCAAGCAGAGCAAGGGAATGCTCTGACACACAGTAAGACATACATTAAGGCTATACTCGTCCTCAATATCAGTTTAATCTTTACACTAAGCAAATCATTTGAGGAGCTAGACTTTATGAGGAAGAACATGGCATCAGGATTGGACGAAGACTCATCAACCACCTGCGTTATACAGATGATACAACATTGCTTGTTGAAAGTGAGGAGGACCTGAATGCTTTTGCTGCAGAAGATCAAAGACTACAGCCTTCAGTACAGATCACATCTCACATAAAGTTAACAAAAATCCTCATGACTGAGCCAGTAGGCAACATCATGATAGATGGAGAAATATTAATGAATTTTTTCATATTACTTGGCTCCACAGTCAACACCCTTGGTACCAGCAGTCAGGAAATCAAAAAGCATGTTGCATTGAGAAAGTTTCCAGTCAGGGATCTCTCCTAAGTGCTAAACAGCAAGGATGCCCATTTAAGGACTAAAGTTGACCTGATCTAAGCCATGGTCTTTTCAATTACTCCTCTGCATCTGTGAGTTGGGTAATGAATAAAGATGACAGAAGAAGAACCAATATCTGTGAGTTGTGATGCTGGAGAAGAGAACCAAATATCCTAGGGACATTCAAGAGAATGAATATGTCTTGGTAAAGATGCAGTCAGAGTGTTCTATAAAGAGAAGGATAGTGAAACTATCTCACACACTCTGAGCACATTGGTAGAAGGGGCAAGTCCTTGGAAAAGAACATCATGCTCAGAAAAGTGGAGGGTCAGCAAAGGAGAAGACCCTCAGTGAGATGGACTGGACCCAGTGACTGTAACAATGGGCTCTAGTGGGACCGAGCGGATGAGAATGACCCAGGATAGGGCATGGTGTAGATCCATTTTTCACAGGGTCACTAAGAATCGCAGTCAACTCGACAGCATCTAAAAACAATAAGAAGCAACGCTCGGAGGACCAGGCTGCCAAACTTGACCTTGCAAAATGGCCAGGAGAGCACTCGACCTAATGCATCTACATTAGCTAAGCACTTCAATTGTTGTTGTTGTTAGGTCCCATCGAGTCATAGATGTCTCATCACGACCCTATGAATGAAAGACCTGAGCACTGTTCATAGAGTTTCCAGAGGCAAGCCATTTCAGAAGTGGATGCCACTCCCGCTTCCAACCCTGTTTTAATCGGGGAGCTCCACCAAACACTGTCCACCATGGGTAACCATTATCACATTGGGCACATCAGTGTCACAGTATTTAGCATCATAGCAAACATGAGTTATCTTTGTAAAGCAATGCACAGACCAGTGCTAGACCACCTAGAAGAACATTTCACAAAAAAACCCAACAATTTGAACCAGGCCTGAGGGCCACAGATTAAAATCACCCACCTTGGGCTTGGTGTAGCATAACTTACTGTCCACTAGACCAGCGTGGCTCTCTCTATGTTGTCATTGCGTCATAGACGACTCATAGCAGCCCTATGAACAAAAGACCTAAGCACTGTTCATAGAGTTTACGGAGGCAAGTCATTTTGGAAGTGGATGCCATTCCTGCTTCCAAGCTTGTTTTAATCGGGAAGCTCCACCAAACAGTGTCCACCATGGGTAACCATTATCACACATGGCACATCAGTGTCACAGTGTTTAGCATCACAGCAACCACGAGTTACCTCTACACAGCAATGCACAGGGTTACAGGGTATAATCAGCCTTCAGAGCTCCAGGGAAAACACTTGAGCTCGGCTGCAAGTGAAAAGATTGGAGGTTTGGGTCCACCCAGAAGTGCCTTAGAAGAAAGGCCTAGTGATCTGAAAAACCAACCATTGAAAATTCTGAAACACAGTTCTACTCTGATCTATACAGGGTTGCATCAATCAGAAACTACCCAACAGCAACTGGTTTACTGGTGTTACCCTTTCACCACCAAGTCCCCACCAAATACACCCAAATACTCTGGTTTTGTTACCGTAACAGAAAGCTCCTTTTCCCATCAGCCAATCATACTTTTGGTTAAAAGAGGAGTTTCCCTCTACTGTAACCATGAAAATTTGGGACTTTTGTTACAAAATGGGGGGGGGGGGGGGCGGGGAAATCTATGTTAAAAAAGTTATCTCACTTTTGCTGTCAAGATGTCAGCATTATTCATAGCTCAGAGGTGTAACTACTTATTTATTCAATGCTAATTTTAGCTAAATAGACAATGACAAGTTTACACTGTCCTTAGTCAGGATTAATAAAAGTATCCCTCCAGGCGGATGTCCTAGTTTGAAAAGGGTTCCTTCTAAAACCTTAACTTAAATTTACTTCCTTGCAGCCTCAGGCAGAGGTACAACATGAAATTGCAACCCTGGTCTGCATGCAGGAGATTTAAGGATGGCCTCTGTTAGATGCCCTGCTAATTACACAAGCAAATTGAAGGAAAACAGAATTGAACAATGGGCAAAGGCAACTTACTTGCTCATTTTTCGTAAGCCTGGTTTTGTTGTGAATGTCAGAAGTGACCAAATTGAATCCATGCTTCTCAGACAAGATTCTCAGAAGCAAGACCACGGTTCTGCTGCCACATTTGCCCACTCGATTGTACACCACCTGGCTAGGGAAGGGCAGCGCCTGGAAGAGAACAAGACAGCGGGTTGGAGGTCTGCATCAGACAGTAACAATTCCCTCCCTGGAGCCCAGAACAATGCCTGTTTGATAAATGAGAATGAGAAGGATGTGCATCAAGTTAATGAGACAACAGAAGTGATGAACTGCTATTCATCTTCACAATTCAACTCGGGAGAAATCTGGAATGATTTGTGCTTTCTCTGCACTGGTACAAATAAAGTTTTAGCAAGTCTATAAAATGGATTTTGAAGCAGCTGCTCTTTTTTTTGTTAAGAAAAACATAAAAGTAGATTTTAATGTTAATGATTTTTCTTAAAGATATCTCTGAACAATTTACAGAAAAATCAAGGACAGCCATTCTAATTTTCTTAAGCAATAATTCACATATTACCAAATCCATCATTTCAAAGTGTGCAATAAAACGGATTATAGAATATACACACAATCCTCAATTTACAATGTGTTTGCGTTGTGAAAAAAACGAGGACAACCCCTTCTCCCCCTCACCCCCGAGACATTTAGCATTAGTAGTACAAAAGCCCTGATGACATAGAAGGTAAAGTACCAGTTTGATAACTGAAAGATTGACAGTTTGAACCCACCAGCTGCTCTGAGGGAGAAAATGCCAGTTTCCTCTAGCAAGATCTACAACCTCAGAAGCCTAGTGGGGGGTTGCTATGGAGGAACAACTTAACAGCAGGGGTTTGGGTTTGGTTTTTAACATTAGTAAAGGATCAATTCCTTTGAATGATGATGGTGACAAAGAGTATTGAATATCTCATGGGCTGCTAAGAGAACAAACAGATCTGTCTTGAAGGAAATGTGACCAGACCACCATGCTTTTTAAAAACAAGGATAGTAAAACTTTTGTTTCACTTACTTTGGGCATGTTGTCAGGAGGCATCAATTATTGAAAAAAGAGAACATGCTGGAGGAAACAGAGGGTCAGTGATAAAGAGAAAGGTCCTCAAGGAGAGATACTGACACAGTGGCCATAATCATGGGCTTGAGGGTCATGGGGATGTGAGGATGGCACAGGATTGAGCACGGGTTTGAAGGGTGGTTCACAGGATTGTCCTAATCACCTTAACAGTGCCTCACACCACCACTACATAGAACATGATAGCCATAACTTGCAGATGTTATAATATCTGTAAATTTCTTTGTAATGTTTTCAACTCTAAAAGAAAAATAAAGATCTGTCTTATAAAAGCATTAACAATGGGCTCTCTGCTCCTCATTGATTGACAGATTGCCCTCTCTTCTCATGCAGCCTCAGCAACATCCCTACAACATGATGGTGAAAAACAGAGTAAATGGATTTGGCCTCATTGGATGTCTGCTCACCACAGCTTCTTTTAACCCTGCCAAAATGAATGTTGTGGCCATCGATGACCTCAACTACATGGTCTATATATTCCAGTATGATTCCACCCATGGTAAGTTCTGAGAATGTCAAGGCTGAGGATGGGAAGCTGGTCATCAATGGGAAAGCCATCACTATCTTCCAAGAGTGAGATTCCACCAACTTCAAGTTGGGTGATTCTGGTGCTGAGTGTGTTGTGGAGTCCACTGGCGTCTTCACAACCTTGGAGAAGACTGGGGGCTCACTTGAACAGTGGTGCCAAAAGCTATTCCTCCCTGCTCTTTCTGCTGATGCTTCCATGTTTGTGATGGCCATGAACCATGAAAAGTATGACAATTCTCTCAAGATCGTCATCAATGCCTCCTGTACCACAAAATGCTTGCTTGCCCTGGCCAAGGTCATTCATGACAACTCTGGCATTGTAGAGGGACTCATGACCACAGTCTATGCCGTCACTGCCACCCAGAAGACTGTGGATGGTCCCTCTGGAAAGCCTGTAGCGGGATGGCCGGGGAGCTGCCCAGAACATCATCCCTGCATCTACTGGCACTGCCAAAGCCATGGGCAAGGTCATCCCTTAGCTGAATGGGAAATTAACTGGCATGGCTTTCTGTGTCCTCACCCCTAATACCTCTGTCACAGATTGGACCTACTGTCTGGAGAAAGCTGCCAAATATGATGATGTCAAGGAAGTAGTAAAGCAGGCATCAGAAGGGTCCCTCAAGAGCATCCTGGGATACACTGAAGACCAGGTTATCTCCTGTGACTTTAACTATGACACTTACTCTACCATTGTTGATGTTGGGGTTGGAATTGCTCTGAGCAACCACTTTGTGAAACCCAGTTGGTGGTATGGCAATGAATTTGGCTCCAGCAACCAGGCCCCCAAAGAACAAGAGCCCCTTTGCCTATCAGCCCCAGAAATAGCACTAGAAGAGAGAGAGACCCTCAGCTGCTGGGGAGTCCTTGCTCCAACTCAACACCCCCACACATACATGGAGAATCTCACTTCCTTGACATAGGTTCTACCCAGTCTCCTAAGAAAGGAGAGGGGCTCAGAAAGCCCATCTTGTTATGTACCATCAATAAATTATACTGTACTCAGTAAAAAAAAAATTAACATGCTAAAAACTTTTTAAAATGTTAGCATAAAGAAGTAGTCAGAATGAAAAGCCATCACAAGTTGGGGACCACTTACATACATACACTAAGTTGTGCAATCACCAATATTATCTAATTCTGTAATATTTTTTAAAGAAACCCTATACACATTCGTAATCACTCTCTATACAGCCTCTGGAAACCATTAATCTTGCTGTTACTATGGAATTCTGAACAATTTCAATATATCAAATCATTTAATTTTAATTAGCATCATGTTTTCAAGGTCTATTCACCTCAGAAAAGAAATCAGTACTTTGTTCCTCTGTATGGTTATATAATATTCCACCAGAGGGATATATCATGTTTTGTTTCTCTGCTCATCCTTACTGGATATTTGCATAATTTCTATTCTTTAACAAGTATGAGTAATGCTGTTATGAGTATCTGTAATCAAGTTTTTATGTGGCCATGGTTCTAATTATCTTGAGTATTATCCTAGTAACGCAATTGCTGGGTCATATGATAACACTTTAATTTTTTTAAAGGAGGTGCCAAACTATTTTCAAAGCAGCTGTATCTTTTGTATTCCATCACCGGCGTGTGAGGGTTCCAGTTTCTCCTTAGCTTTGCCAACATTTGTTATTGTTTGTCTTTCTGGGTGAAAGTCATTCCAGTTCAAGACAAGTATTATCTCATTGTGGTTTTTACTTGCATTTTCCCAGTGACAACTAATGTTAATCATCTTTTCATGTGATTATTGCCATTTGTCTATCTTTTTAGGGGAAACGGTTATTCAAATCCTTTAAGCCCATATTTAAATTGGGCTGCTTTTCTTTTCATTTTTGAATCTGAACAATTTTGTATTTTATGTTCTGAATATCTAATTCTCATCAGACATAATTTACAAATATTTCCTGCCATTCTATGTGCAGTCTTTCTGCATTCTTGACAGTATTCCTTGCAAGACCAACCCCTGAACCAGACTTGTAGGATTGGCTGGAACCCATGGTGACCCCATCTGTGCATTACAGAATAGAACTGACCCACGGAGCTGGAAAGTTTGCAAAATATTGTCAAATCTTTCTTTCCAGTGCCACTGCATAGGCCCGCACTATCAAGGCTTAGGACAATAGATGAAGACAGACCATTTATCCACCCAGGGACTTTCTTTGACATTAAAATATTTTCAACAGCATGATATCTAATTTATCTTGTTTTTCTCCAGTTGTTTATGTTTTTGGTGCCCTTGCTAAGATACTAATGTCTGAAGTAAAAGGAAAAGATATTTACTTGTGTTTTCTCCTAAAAGTTTCATCCTGGATCATTTTCACTTAATTTTATGAATGAGATCAAGCTTCATTCCTTTGCATGTGGAAACTCTCTCATCCTAGTGCCATTTGTGGACAAGAATAGTCTCTCCTGTTTCACTGTTTGACATCTTTGTTGGAAATGTATTAACCATAAGCTTATGAGTTTATATCTGAACTACTCAGAACTATTCAAATGTATGCAGTTGAACTCTGTAGTTAACCTTATGTTAAATACAGAACCATTCAGAACAATTTCAATCTGTTCAGTTTAACTCTGTATTTAATGTTATATCGATATTATACACTCTTCTTGACCACTGAAACTGTACTGTAAGTTTTGGAATGAGCCTTCTGGGTGAGCCTTCTAACTATGTTCTTTCTTTCTAAGATTGTTTTGGCTATTTTGGGTCTCTTGTATTTCTAGAAGGAGCCCTGGTATTGTGATGCACAACATGCGAGACTATTAATCAAAAGGTCAGTGGTTTTACTCTACCAGCACCTCCACTGGAGAAAAATGAGTGGCTTCCTCCCATAATTATTTTTAGTCCTGGAGGGTCAGGAGTCACTGGAAGGTTGCTATGAGTAAGAACAAAATTAACATCAGTGTTTGATTTTTTTTTCTCTCCTTTTGTATTTCCTCATGAATTGTAGGATCAGCTCATCACTTTTAGACAGAAAAATAAGCCAGCTTGGATTCTGAGAGAAATTATTTTCAATCTGCTATTCAGTCTATTCAGTGTTACCAATTCTGTGTCATCATATCAATTCTGTGTCTTCAAATCCATGGGCACAGACATTTTTTTCCTCTTGCTTATTTATCTTTTAATTGATTTCAGTGAATTTTTGCTGTTTTCAGTGCATATGTCTGCCATTTCTTTTGTTAATTGTTTCTTTTTGATGCTCTTTTAAATAGAATTGTTTTATTAATGCCATTGTTGGATTGTTCACTAAAGGAATAAAATGGATTTTTTTTCCTACTGATCTTCTCTTCTTCAACATTGCTTAAGTTCATTTATCAGTTCTAATAGTTTATTAAAAATTATGGATTCTTAAGCATTTTTCTATATAAAATATTCTCTCATCTCCTAAAGGAGCTAGTTTTACTTCTTCCTACACAATTCAATCTGAATAGGGTGAAACCAAGCTGATCCTTTGAAGCAAGAAATTTGAAGCTACATCTCACATACTTTGGGCAAATGGCCAGGAGCAACCAGTCCTTGGAG